CTAGTGTGGCCTCATCACACTTGCTATTCACCCCAACCCCATCTCTTTCGATCGGCTGATCCGACTCGGGTCTCTAATCCGGATCCCTCTTATGGTCTCGTGGATCCGTTCCTCTTCTTTCTTGTTGACCAATTTCACTCGGTTCCAGTCCCAGTGTGCATTTCACTCTAGGCGCGTCTTTCTCAAGGCCCTGCTCGAACACTGCTGCCTCACCGAGCAGAGCCCCTATGCTCTAATTTCTATGCTTGCAGAACTTCAAGATGGCGCCACTACAACCGGTAGCACTCATGCGGTACCTGGATGATTATTTCGCACTTTGGTGACACGGAAAAGTAAAACCGGAAGAATTTCTGAAGTTTATAAACCAGATTGATGAAAAATTCAATTCCCGATGGAGGTAGAGAAAGGCGAGCGGTTACCGCTCTTGGACGTTGAAGTGATTCGCTCTAATGGGACGCTCAAAACAGAAATTGTTCAGAAAGAAGTCCTATGCTGGGATAATATTCAATTTCCGCTCCCATCACAATTTCAAACTAAAGATATGAATAATGAGGAGCATGATCATCCGAAGCCAACATTTAACGGATGTAGAATTCTGGGAAGATTAGCTGGACAAATTGACGAGGACACATTGCTCGGCAATGACTACCCAATCGAAGTGATAAAAAGAAACGTAAGGGCTGTGAAAAGCCGATGGTAGAACGGCGACTATGAAAGAACAGTAAAGACGATGAAGGATTCACAAAAGTGAATATGCCTACCTTCCTGCGAACTAACTCAGAAACTCCAGCCAATATTGAGTAAATGGAATATTCAAGTGGCCATGAAAGACAAATCATCCCTTTTAACAAATTTACCGATGCAACATGAAAGTGTATCTAAATTAGATTGTTCAGGAGTTTACTGTATATCATGCGGCGCCTGCGAACAGAAATATGTTATCAAAACAGAGAGAAAAATCAGCATACGTATTAAGGAACATCAGAGAATCTGCCGGAAAGCGGACACCGAAAGATCAGAACTAGCGGAACACATCGCACAGACTGGACACGAGATCAATTGGAAGGCAACAGAAAGAACAGCCCCATACGGTGACAACACAAGGAAGCGTTTAGCTCAGTGAAGCAGCAGTTTACGTGCTTCTATGGCCTTGAGAAATAGCGCGTGGAGTGAAATGCACACTGTGACTGAAAACAAGTGAAATCGGTCAACCAGAAAGAGAAGGAATGGGACTAGGGACCATAAGGGGGATCCGGATTGGAGGCCCGAGTCGGATCAGCCGATCAAAAGAAAAGGGGTCGGGGTGAATGGCGGGTGTGATGAGGTTACACCAGATTTACCACAAAAGGGCACAGAGTTTGACGAGTGGAACGTAAAAAAGTGAAAATTTGTGATAGGACGGCAGTGGGAGAAGAGGGAAAAGAGTAGAAAGATAGGCCAGGACAAAAAGAGGAGTGATAGTGTAAACGTTTTCGGCAGAACGTTTGTCGAGAAAGTGACTTCACTTGTCTCCTAGTGCAGAAAATGGCAAAGCTCAATGATGATCACGACTACGATGTCGGCACAACGTTTGAGAATGTACCAAGTTCACTGTCTGGTGCTAAGAATCATGACAGCTACTATGGCAGACGACTTCGGAGTAGGTGCGTTCTACTAAGTCGCCCTGACATCAAGACCAAGTTGCGACAACGAGGTCAACTCATTTCTATAAATCGCAAAGAGACTGCGACCATAACATAGGCCACATCTTGGTCTTCATGTTTCAATTATCCTATCGATAGTCTAAATACCCACTTAGAGATAGGACTACTTAATGTGAATAAGGTGGTTTTTATTGAAAAGTCTGTCCGTTACAGTAGGGGCATGCATTATTTGTGTACGTGTATTTCAATAAAAATTACCCTTATTCATGTCTATCCTCGAGGAGTAGGTTCTTTTTGACTTCGCCTCGCCATTACGAATAAACTGCGTAAACGAGCTCATACCAATTTTCTATCTCAAAATGAGATCAAGACCAAAATATAGTTCATACCATTTCTTTTTCCTATCTTTGTTAATGAGTTGATAATTCCTAACTTAATTTCTTCAAGTGGCCTGACCTTGTTTTATAGACTTAGTCGTGTTGTCAGGGTGACTTAGTTGGACACACCTTGCCCGAATGAGTTTGCCGTAGTAGGTTTCATAATTTTTAGCATTGAACCGGGGACTTGGCACATCCCAAGAAGTTTGGCCGACATCGTAGTCGGCATCATCAGTGAGTTTTGCCAGGCTTGGCACAAAGTTACGACGCCTAAAAAACAAGTGATAACAATCCCTTGACCAAATATCTGCCGAAACAGTTGTGCTAACATTCCACTTTCTGTCCTGTCATATCTGCCGCCATATTACAAGCTCTGAATTGGTTATATTTAATTTCTTCATGGGTAGTGTCGTCGCACCTGTTTTTTAACTTGGCCCC